TCCATCTTGTTTGGGACTCTGTGCTTCCTGGGCTTCACCAAATTAGGGAAGTTTCCTTTCATTATTTTTTCAAATAACTTTTAAATTTTTTGCTCATCCTCTTCCCCTTTTGGCAGCCCTATGATTCAGATGTTGGTATGTTTAGACATGTCCCAGAGGCTCCTTAGCCTATCCTCATTTTTTTTTATTTTTTTTCTTCTTGCTGTTCTGATTGAATGTTTTTTCCTTTCTTGTGCTCCAATTGTCAACTTAATTCTCAGCTTCATCTCTTCCACTGTTGGTTCCCTATAGATTTTTCTTTATTTCAATTAATGTGAACTTCATTTCTGCCTGGGTCTTTTTCATGCTGTTGAAGTACCCTGTGAGTTTCAGGAGCATCCTGATAACCAGGGTTTTGAACTCTGCCTCTGAGAGGTTGCTTCTCTCCATTCTGTTTCGTTCTTTTTCTAGAATTTTGATCTCTTCTTTCATTTGGGCCATGTTTCTTTGTCTCCTCATTTTGGCAGCCTTCCTGTGTTGTTTCTGTGTATTAGGCAGAACTGCTTTCACTCCCTGTCTTAGCAGCATGGCCTATTGTAGGAAAGCACACCTGTAAGTTGTATGGGGTGGAGCCTGGTAATCACCAGGCCAGAGTAATTCATGTCACTGCTCTGTGGCTCTGTGTGGGGAAGGGCTCAGAGAGGGGACAGTGCCACTGCCTGGCCTCTGGAGATTTGCCCGTAAAGATGATGTTTGCTGGCACTCACCCTGTTGTGATTCACTTCACTTTCTCCCTGTATGCCACTGGTGCCTTTCCAGCTGTTACCCTGGTGCTGAACCCCAGAGTGGGTGGATCTGTGTGAGCCCAAAGTCTGTTGTGGGCCCTTTAAGAAGATTCCCTTGAGAATCCTTCAATTTCTTTCACCACTCCACCCACTACAGCTTTTTACAGCCAGAAGTTATGGAGACTAGCATCCTGCTGCTGGAACTCTGGGCTGGGTGGTCCGGTGTGAGGCTGGGATCTTCCCTCCTGTTGCAAAGGGAATGTTGAGGGTGAACATCACCTGGAAAGGACACGGGAGTATTAGACCATGACAACCTTGGAAGGTCAAAGGTATCATTATTATTGTTTCTATCATGCCCATCTGGGCTGCACAATATCCTTTTACTCTCAGAAAGTGTTGGATAATAGGCTTTCTTCACAGCAGCCGAAATTCACCACCTACCAGGATAACTGATTCCAGAAGTTGGATGTCGACTCATGAACTAAACCACCAAGGAGAATTAGCTAACAATTAGAGTTTCATTTGTTTGTCTAATTACCAATACTACTTACCCACCAGGCTACATGTATTAAGCACCTGGATATTTTTTCCCACAGGAACTCCCAGGCCAGTGGTACAGACACAACAAGTGAAAGAGAAGGCCTGCCTGCTGGGCTGCAGGGCTGGAGGAGGGTGAGGAAGGGACAATAAAAGGATCAGTGCAGTTAGGTGTTGGGAACTGCCCTGCCTGGTTTCAGAAGCTGTAATCCCCCGTGGCTAAGGCTGAGTAAAGGACCTTGGGACCATAAGCCTCTTAGGAGACAAAGTTTATCTTCCTTGTAGGGGCACCAACTCTGCCCCCTTTCTCTTCACCCTCCTTGGCCCTGGGTGGATGACTGGTTAGCCAATGACGGGCAAGATTCCTCAAAAGAGGGATGACCTAAAATAGGCAAGGGAAGGACTTGGGGAGCTACAGAATAAGGGGGTGATGGACTCTCACTCCTTGGCTTTGATATAGCCTGAGTCCTCATTCTGTCTTCAAGAAGTCTCCTAATCTCTTGGCTGCCTTTCTTCCCCTGCCTGACTTAAGCCTGAAACAATGCTGGAGATGGATGCATCCTTGTTCTGGAAAGGGCAGGTTCCCTAGGGCATCAGGCATAAGAAAGAATGCATAAAATCCTATGAAACCTACTTTGCTAATACCCTCAATTAAATGATAAGGGTCTGAGCTGGAAGTGAGTTTGTTCCCCAAAGTTTTATGGCCCTTTAACTATCTGACCCTGACTCAGAATAAGCCCTCAGAGTTCTTTGAATGTTATCTATTGTTTAATCATTTCTGTCTGGCAATAATTGATGAGCTTTCCATATATACCTTGTATTCCTATGCAAATTGAACCCAATAAAAGCTTGTCAAAGCAAGGGCCAAGGTGCTCTCCTCTTGAGAGAGTGGCCAAGGTGCTCTGACTCGGACCTCTCCTTAAGAGAGAAGCCTCGCCATGCCTTTTCCTCTACAGGATTCGGTAGTCCGTATGAATTTGTCTCATCTCACCCATAACATTGCAGACCTCAGGAGCCAGAATCCATGCTAGTCAGGACCTGAGCTCTGGGCTGCATTGTGATAGACGTCACCCTGGCTTCTCCTGGGCCACTGCTGCAGGGACCTGCTGCTGGGCAGGGTGCTGCCGCTGCCTGCCTGCTGCTGTCCCTGTGGCCTTACTGCCTGTTTCTCTGCTAAAGCCTCCAGGGCAGCTCCCTTCCAGGCCTCGGCAGCATCAACCAGAGAAGCCATGTGGCAGATTTCTCTTCTCACCTTCTTCAGCATTGGCACCAACAGGGTGATACTACTAACACTCTGCTGCCACAGATGCAGCCTCTCACAGTTCCTCAGCAAGGCCATTTGGTTCTCTGTCCTGGTCATGGCAGAAAGCAATGATAAGGAACAAACCCAAAGACCAAAACAGCTTTCTGCTTCTTACCTCCAAGAGCTGAGAAAGCTAGGGACTACTAATGGTCGTTCCCTGGAGTGGTCCAGGCTGGACAGTGGAGACCAGGAGAGAGCCCTTCCATGGTGTTCTTTCTAAACTGCAGACCCACAGGGTGTGTGAGCAAAACAAAAGGGCTGTTTTAAACCCCTGAGTTTCAGGGCAATGTGTTAAGCAGCTATAGAAAGTGGATCATCATTGATCCACTCATTTAGGTTTTCTTGGAGGAAAGTGGGCATTGCATAGGGAGGCACAGGTCTTCAGCCCAGCAGCTAAACTTTATATTCCACAGTCTTTGAACAAATTTGGCCTTTTTCCACATGTGGTAGATGGATTCAAGGAAAGCAATTGCACTGGGTGTCAGTGCTCATGGCACAATAAGACGTCCTTAACTCATGTGTACAAAACTGCATCTTTCTCCTTGATCACCTTTTTTATAACTTGTATACTTTTATTAATTGTGGTAAAAACACATCATAATAGTTATCATCTTAACCATTTTAACTGGACGGTTTAGTTGTTCTAAGTATATTTACATTGTTTACTTTTTAAAGGTAACTTACTTTTTATATTAAAATTAGATTATATTTTGTTTAAATTATATTTTAAACAATAAAATTATATTTTATATTTTATTATATAGACTATATTTTATTGTTTATGCTTTTACAGTTGTTTCCATTTTCCCTTTGCCTTCCTCCACACAGTCCCATCCCCTCACTCCCTCAGGCAACCCCCACACCCTCATCCACGTCCGTGGGTCAGGCGTCTGTGTGTCTTTGACTAATTCCTTCACCTTCTTCCAACCAGCCCCCCACCCCCCACCTTACAGCTGTCAGTCTGTTCCATGTTTCCGGGCCTCTGGTTCTGCCTTTCCTTGAGCCACCTTTCAGTCTGGTCTCTGCCTCCTGACAACACCTCTTCCATGGACGTGATCGTTGTCAGAATGTGAGACTATCCTTTCTGCCCCAGGGCACAGTGGGGGCCAGACATTACTGCCAAGTAGCAGCAGAGCTGAACAAGGCCAATCTCATAGGATAAGGAAGATAGCAAGCTGTCAAATACTGAAATGCATCCTCATCCTTCCCTGCCACGCAGGCCAGGTCTCCTGTCCACCTCCCCCAAGGCCCTCCACCCTGACCAGTACCTCCCACCTGTTCCATCAGTGCATGGAGTACCCACCATCCAAAGTCACTCATTCTTTAACTAACATTCCTCCATTGTAGCCACTGCTCTTCTCTTAAATGGGTTGCTAACCAACTTAGAGGTTTGGGCTGCAAAAAAAAAAAAAAAAAGACCTTTATTTAAGCAAAAGGATTCCAGCCCAAGAAATGAAAATTTAGGCAGCAACCCAAACTGTATTCCGAGACAATAAAGAAAGACATGGTTTATAAAGGCAAAGAGTGTAATTCTTTCATGCAAATGAAGGAGTGCTGACTAGGTTACCAGGAACTGATCAGCTCCAATATGCAAACTGGGAGGCACAAACCACAGAGAGGAAGTCAAGTCCACATGTGTCCATACAGCAGTTGTTCCAGGATGTTTATGGCTCAGCCTTGACCTGAGCTCAGCAACATGTTAGCAGCTCTGAGGACTGAGGCACATTATGCTAAGTGAAGTAAGCCAGTCAGAGAAAGACAAATACCATATGATTTCACTCATATGTGGAATCCAATGAACAAACTGAACTAACAAGCAAAGTAGAGACAGACTCATGGATAGAGAGCAGGCCGACAGCTATGGGGTAGGGGTGCGGTGGAGGGATTGAGCAATAAAGAAAAAGGACTCATGGACATGGACAATAGTGTGGTGATTGCAGGAGGAGGGAGGTGGATTAGGGGGCCAAATGGCAATGGAAAAATATGCAAAAAAATAAAAGCTGTGCACAGGCTGCATAGGCTCCGCTTCCTTAACAGCCTCCTGACTCTATTTTAAGTGCCTCTCTTAGCAATGCTTATGCCATTTTATTTTATTTTTTCATTGCCGTTACAATCACCACAAGTTGAAGGGGGAGAGTGATGTAAGAACAAGTCTGCAGTTGAAATTATGGCCCTGTTTCCGGGATTCACACACAGAAAGTGGGAGCTACAGAGAAGCAAAGAACCCAATTCGGAAGCACAGAGCCACAGTAGACTGGGGCCCTCTGATGCCGTACTCATATTTAACCGAGGGAGGGGCAGGCAGATTTAGGACCTGAGTTGAGCTGGGGAAATAAAGCAAGATGGAAGAACTTTCATCAAATGCTGACTCAATATCAAAAACATTACTGACATCATTCATTCATCCATATAACAAAATTTATTGAGAATCTACTCCAGGCATTAAATTATGTAAGTATTATTCCCATTTTATCTCTGAGGGATCAGATCCACAGACTGATCAAGTAGTCCACCCAGTTCCACAGGATTTGAACTCAGATCTCTACACCTTGCAGCTCATTCTCTTTCCCTTAGGACACGTGTGGGAGGAAGTAAAAGGAAAGAACTGGCAGATGAGAAAGAGGGTGTGAGGAAGCCCCTGGCATCCTGACTCTGCCAGACAGACACTTACTGGTGACATTGTTTTCACATGCAGTTTAGACATCAGGTTTTTATAGGTAATATTTTAAAATTCACAATAGTTATAACTTTTAGACAAAATTACTTAATTCTGAAATTTGAAAAATTTTCTATGCCAGCATTTCTATATTAAGGAAAATGCTACCCAAAGAACTCGGTTGCAGAAAGAGCCATGTAAGAAACCATGAGCTGTGTCACTCTCCTGGTGCTTAACCACACGCTACTGTTTGCTGGGTGAAGCCTCGTCTGGGAACTACTCAGGAGCAATATCACGTCTCACTCCTCTTTGTAGAATTCTAACCCTGCCTTGTACATGCGGGCTTTTGTAAAAATTGATATTGGACATTGGACACATGCTGGTTGCGTTTAATAAAGACTGTTTCCTCGGTTGCCCATTTCCTGAGCCACAGGTAAACATTTTTTGTGAATTCAACGTTCAACCAGTATGGAAGTTTTTTTAGCAAAAATCACTATTTTCTTCCAAGAAAACCATAGATCACCCTTAAAATACCTTTACTATTATTAATGTTGAAAAGATGTGTGGTTCTGTTTTCTTTGAAATGTTGTCTGACTAAAAATCCCAGAACACCTCTTAAGTACAGCAGAGGATTTTAGACTTCATACATTGATCACCAGTAAATTTGTCTCTGAACTTGACCTGCAAGTCATGGAAAGAGTTGTTCTCAGAAAAAAAAAGTTGTCTAAATACATAGGCTGACGTTTTAAAGGTTGAAATGATTTAATATCTAGAGTTTTTTTAGTATCACATACTGTCATTGAGGAAATATGAGAGACAGGTTACCAGTGGACAGTTGGCAAAATGGGTGATGCATAGAGGTTAATTATTTTATTCTCTCTACTTTTATGTATATTTGATTTTTATAATAAGAAGTTTCCATGTATAATACAAGATGCAATAATACAATAGTACTGAAGATCATTTCTACTGCTTACTCTAAATGGTAAAGAATTTATCACCATATTTGGGCACAAGCTTTCCCTCCAAGGAAATATTAAATATATTTTTCAGCTCTTCTCCTATTTCTTCTTCATTCAGTGTCTTAAACTCCACCGAATCCACATTGTCTTTATAATTGAATTTCCTAAAGGTGAGGGTAAGGCCCACTAAACAGTGAACCCCATCTGGGGTCTGCAAGGAACAGAATGACTTGCTTGTAAACAAAGATGCTGGAGACGTCTGAAGGTACTCATTAACAGACTCAAAATCTTCAATTGTTCGAGGCTCCAGAGTAAAGGAGTAGATCTTTCGGTACTTGTTCCTTTCCAGGAGATCAGAGTTAAGAAATTCCTGGTTTGGAATGTACTGCTCTCTTCTGATTTGGTCCAGGTACCAGGTTCCTCTCTCTTCAGTCAAGCGGAAGACGCAGGGCACCTGAGGCTGATCCTTCCCAGAAATTAACTCCAGAGGCTGCCACATCTGGTAAGAGCGTCCAAACCCAGCATCAACTATGTAGTGTCTGCCATCCAAGGTGACCTTCAGCAGAAGGTGAATCATAGCACTGCTGTATTTGTCGGCCGGAGGGCTGAACACGTAGCCTCCCAACATGGTGGCCTGGAAACCCATGGTGGTCAGAGCCCAGTACAGGAGGTGATTGACCTGGAGGCACCAGCCACCCCGCCTCCTCCTCACCACTTGATCAAAAATGGCCTCCAAGCCCAGTTCCATGCGCTTCCCACAATGGATGTTCAGGTTCTCAAAGGGAACAGCCCAGATCTGGTGCTGAAGGATGTCAGTTAATGTTTCCAGGTCCAATTTGTCCCTGGAGTTCTTATAACCAATTCTTTCAAAATACGCTTCAATGTCCATGGTTGCCTAAGGCAAGGAAAATAAAGCAAGAGCACATCGTGTTACCTTTGCACTTGGATTTTGAATTATAATTCATGTATTTTAAATATCTAAATACAAACTGGTGATGAATATCTGCAACGTAAGTCTTTTGTTTAATACTTTCATTGTAGTCATTGTTTTCATGTGCTTAAATTCACTCACTAGTCTCAGTAACCCTGTATGAAAAGTATTATCACTGGTTCCAGGTATTAAAGATGAGAAGCTATAAATCCAGATTAAATGATGAGCAAAACGATAAACAGTTTATATGTGGTTTTGTTAGTAATAAATTAAAAGAGGTTCAAATTGGTGTCAATTAAAATAGGGTTTATACTCTGGTTGGTGTGGCTCAGTGGAATGAGTGCCTGCCTATGAACCAGTCACTCGTTGAATTCCCAGTCAGGGCAAATGCCTGGGTTGCAGGCCAAGTCCTCAGTATGGGGCACTCAAGATGCAACCACACATTGTTTCTCTCCCTCTCTTTCTTCCTTTCTTGGCCTCTCTAAAAAAAAACAAATAAATAAAAATACAGTTTACAAATAGTTCTAGTGTGAACAGGAGAATTATATAGCACATTGTATTCTGGGTACCTGACCCACTCAACTTCACCTTTAGCTGAACCCATTCAAAGTTACACACACAAAGATTTATATTCCTCCCCACATTGATTTATTGATTCATTCAATAAAAATTTTATGAAAATCTGTTATGTATTTTCTAGTGATCTGATACTTGCTTGCTCTCAGAAATCTTACATTTCAGTGTGGGTTGGGATGGCAGCAATAGTCAACTGAATAAATAAATAAAACATGCTATTTCTCAGACTGTGATGAGTGCTCTGGGGAAACTACAGCAAAGAAAGATGTGCACACAGTGAAATTTAATTTCACATACAGCGGTCAAAGCAACCCTCACTGTGACCTGCAGGCTGTGAGAGTTAGCCATGGCCACACACGTGGGAAAGGCCATGCAGGCAGAAACAACAGAAAGTTTTTAAAAGCCTTAACGTGGAGCCTGGGCAATTGGAGCAGAGTGAGGGAGACGGAGTGTGGGCTGAGATGAAATCAGACAGGTAACGGCGGCCTTAAAACCGATTCTGTTGGCTTTTACTCCGGGACAAGAAGTCACTGTGAAAATGTTGCAGTTTGGGCAAAGTACACAATAGTCAGACTGGTGTTTCTGACGATTGTATGGGAATGAGCTATACCCCTCATTCCCTCTGAGCTGAGGGGACAGACATGTGACCCAGGTGGGACCCGTTCAAAGCACATATGCTCCAGCACCGTTGCTTTGCTGGTGGATGGCAGGTAACCCAAGTCCGGTCCCTATGAGGGACTTTTGCCAAAACCTAAGCAGGTACTTTCTGCTGGAGAACTAGCAGCTGGTAGCATATCTGGGCAACGCTAACTGGGAGAACTTGCTGAAGAGTAGTATCAGCAAAGAATTTATTAGCCAAGGAGTGAAATGCAGGAGGGAAGACAAAAAAAGACCTGAATCACAAGTCGTTATCTCTTGACTTTCTGATAATGTAAGCCAAAAGAAAAAAGAAAGAAAGATCTCTTGACTTTCTCTCCCTTGCTACTAAGTGGCCTACCCCAGTGTGTACCCCGATTATAACAGCAGTGCGTGACCACTGGTGATATGACACGGCCTGCGGTGACACGGGACAAGGCCCCCTGCCCGGTTAATGGTGATAAGCTGTGTGTTTCTGGTGCCCTTCACGATCTCATCTCTCTTGGATCCTCCTGTTTGTCCTTTTCCACCAGCTACTGTTCCCATCCTGCCAGTGTTTCAACTTTCTCTATTCTCGATGCCGTAAAATCATCTTCCACAAATCTTTGAAGCTCCTTTTATTTCTTCTCATCTAAAGTTGCATCGGTGCCCTTCCTCAGCATCTACACGTGCTGTAAAATTGGACCACTGAGATACAGACAGACAGCTCACGTGACCAGACCACCCCAAACCCTCTCCTGCCTGTGCATCTGGAAACAGTGCCAGGTGAGGAGGGCAGCTGATGGGGCACAAAAGAAACAAAAACAAAATGGTTTACACACACCTGACCTTTTCAAAAAGGCCTTCTTCACCTGGTACCGAACAGTCTGAGCCTGTTGAGACTTTGATGGCAACAGCAGTATGCAGACATCAAGACTAACCCTCCACAGAGTGGCACAGCCCGAGATGACTAATACATGCAAAGGGCCACGACCGTTAAGTTTCGTGGCGATAAGCTAAGCATGTCTCTTTTCTCTCCTTGTATTGTTTCTTTCAGATTCTTCCTTTTTTCACCCAGCCATCATTTCCATTTTGTCAGTGCTTCCAAATTGTCTTCATGTCTGTAATATTATTTTCCTTAAACTATTAGATTCATTAATTTCTTCTCATCTCACCAGTATCTTTCTCAACATTTACACAAGCTCTGACACCCTTCCACCCCAGCACAGAGAGAACCACCGGTCTTTAGCCAGACTGCCCCACACCTACTCCAGCCCCTGATCCAGAATCTGCAAAGAGCATGTAGGAAAAAGGCTGAACAAACAGAAAACCGGATGGTTTACAATCTGGCTATTATATTCTTGGTTAGACCATTACTATCAGAAAAATTTTAAATGTTTTAAATGTTATAATCTATTTTCAAGTGTTTGTTTTCCCCTTCTTTCCTTTTTTTTAAGAGATAGTGTTGAGTTAGAATTTAGTAACTGCGGGTGCATTTAAAAGAAGCCAGTTTCTGTTATGGGTCCAAATGCAACATGTTATAACCAAATAGTATTTGAGTATTCTGTGACCAAACAAACAGAAGAAGCTGTGATTTACTGAAGCTGTGATTCCAGGTGCAACACTGGAAGCATTTAGAAAGTAGTCGCCAGGGAAAGACAGGACTGAAAACATCACTGACTTTCTACACTCACGGTAGCCTTTCTGTGCGGGACACGCCCTTTCATTTCAGCTTGCCGACAAATGTCGGAAAAGACCCAAGGGAGACAGAGCGAACACACTTCAGAAGGCCCACTGGGAACTCTCAGAAAGACACTTAATATCTTTCTAAGTAAACTGGAAGTGGGGCGATTTTCAACTTTAATTCAGAAGACTTAGAAATTCCTTCTATCTGACCCAAACTCTAAAAATAATAGAAAAGACAGTAAAAAATACAATGTGACCTCCTATGAAAACATAAAGGTAGTTTGGTGGACCATGAATTATGAAAAATCACAAAACAGAAGGACAGGACTGAGGTGTAACGTGAACATCTGGGTTGCGTGGGATGGGGGGAGGGGTGTGGAAAGTGGAGCCACAGGAGACCAGAGCAGCGCACCTGGGGCAGAGGGTGTGGAGTGGCAGGAGGGGCCTCAGAAGCAAGCAGCCAGATGGCCGGTTGCCAGGGAATCAGCTAGGCGGGGGTCAGCCATGTTCTGTGCCCCCAAGTGTTGCTACAAGACTTACCAAACACAGCAAAGACCAGTGTGCCATGGTAGCAGCTGTTCTTCCTTCAGAGATAAAGCACAATTTGGGATATTGGGGGAAAAGAATAATAAAGCACAACGTTCTTTATGTGCAGTTTCACCAGAAAGGAAGAAGCATCCATACGGGGAAGATCGGCCATCAGAGTGTCTCCACTGGGAGAGTGAGGAGTCCAGGCCCCGCTCCACACAGACCCCTCACCAGTCAGGTTCCTTCGGTTCAAGAAACAAGGAAGAGGTGGAGACAAAGCTAGACAGGCACAAATATAATAAAAACACAGGGTGCAAATACACTGCGAGAGTGGGAATTAAAGGATATAATGTGCAAAAAGAGAGACAAAAACAGACGACCAGCTCAAGAACAGAAATAAACTGAGCAATGGAGAGAAATTCTTCACGGGCACTTGGAGCAAAAGAACATTTAACATGGATTCATAACAGAGAGCCAAAAAATGAAGTGATAAAATAATAATGAAATAATGCAGCTCTATTATTTTATCTTAGACCTTAGGAAACTAAGGACAAAAACAAAGCTAATATATAATTAATTACAAACAGAAAGGGACAATATAGATGCAGTGTGATATCAGATCACATGTGTAGAAGAGAAACTTGATACTATAGTAAAAGTCAATGAAAAGGTAAAGCCATTAAACAAATAGAAAGAAGCCAATAGGAAAACAACTGGTGCTTCTGAAGAAGAAATCTCAAAAAGCACAATAGAAAATGTATATAAAAATAACAAAATCATTTTCCTGAACTGCAGCAAAAATTAAATCTAAAAAACAGCCAGATTCTGGAAAAGTGCGATTCAACATTCAACACTGGAATGTATTCCAGTTAAATTACTGAAATTGAAAATGGGAGGAAACTACCTGGGTATTTGGAGGAAAAGCCAACACTTCATAAGGGAGAAACTGTCACGCAGGGGTCAGAACGCCCCACAGTAGTAGGTCTACTAAGTTAAGAAGGGAGTCTGATCTTCAAACACTACCCTCAGCTAGTGTTGCATTTAATCACAAAGGCATCCTAAGTATAAAGACAATCTCAAACATGACAGAACTTGAGGAATGCATCAACAGTGAGCTACCCTGATAAAGTGGTACCTCCCAACTGGCCAGTAAGGGTGTAAATTAAAATGAAAAAAAAAAGATGAGAGAGGCCACAATAAAGAGTTCATGGTCAACATTGACTCCTCTTATTATAGAACAAAAAGTAGAAAATGTATGAGAATATCAAGTAAGGTTTTAAAAATGTTTGGAAAGTGTGACTCAGATGAAACCCATTAGACCTGTTGGCCTCCACCCTAAGAACAGAGAGGGAAGGAACAAGCATGCTCAGTGTGCCTAGAGAGGGCATGCAGCATTGGTGAGGATTCGGGACCGAGGCTACTGTGGGGAGAATGCTGTCTGTCCCACCCCGATCCCTTCAGATGTCTTTTACCATTTCACTGTGCCCCTGGCCTGGCTTCTCTGTCCTTATGCTTAAGGACCTGCACCCTAGACTCTTTGGAGGGCCCCCTGAGGGCTCCTGGAGCTGCTCTGCCTTCCTCTGCAGAGAGCTGGACAAGCCAGGGAACTCATTTGCTGCCAGGGCAGCTTTAAGTCAATGAATGACTTGTGCGAGGTTTTGGAAGTCCACCTGATCTCAGGGTCTGATTCTGGGAACCTGACTTCAGTGAGACCTATCGGTGGTCCTCTGGAGAGCTGTGCAGAACGAAGGTAAGATGCACAGGCAACTTCCAGAGAGCCTGGAATGTGAGGTGAAAGAGGCCTGCTTTTTCCTGTTAATCTCCTGATGGATCCTTGGTGTTTTCTTGAATGGTCAATATTCAACTGTTGAACTGACTGCTGCAATTTGTACTTTGCAAGAAGGTACTCCAATTCAAATTACCTTTCTGGAGGAACCCTTGGAGAATAGATTGATATGCCAAGTTCACTGATGGCTGCTGGAGGCCCTTCCCCCTAAGCCTCCCTCCAGGGCAGGAAACTTCCCCCAGGAATTCCCTCCAGCAGTGCAGACAATGTGTCCCCCCTCCTGTTGGGATTATTGCAGAAATCCTTGTCAGCTGATGCAGAGGGAGCAGGGATGGTCACAAACCCGCTGCTGCCAGGACTAACTGTGCCCTTGGGACACTCTTGGTTGGGGACAGAGGAGGTGGACATCACTGTTTCCATTATCTGACAAGGAAATCCAGTTCCCTGAAACACACTTTGTGCACACAGCTGGTTTTTACACACTCTGTAACCCTCACAACCACTTTTTCAGTAAGCTCTCTAATGAGCTCCATTTCACTGACAGATAAACTGACTTTCAAAGATGCTGGGTGGTCCGCCCAAGTCCCCACAGCTGGGTGTGGTGTGGCTGTGACTCTAACCCACAGGGTGTGCATCGAGGGTCTGCTACCCTCACACTACACTGCACAGCCCTTACAGCATAAGGACTCAAAGCAGGTGTCAGCCACACCTTCTGAACCACCTCTGGACTGCAATTCAGACACACTGCAGTGTCTAGCCTGCTGGACTCACAGCTGAGGTGGGACCAAGCCCCAATTTCAAAGCATAAAGAGTCACTCACCAAGTTCTACTAGGACCAGCACCAGGAACTAGACTGACTTCACTCCTCCCACTGGAGTCAACACAGGAAGTGCCCTCATTGGCTTTCCACACTGCCCCTCCCAAAGAGTCCACTTAGAATCACCCAGGGATCTCTGGGAAATGTAGTTGTGGGTCCTAGGGATGTCCTTGTGTGCCTCCTCTTCAAATCTATTCAGCAAAGAAGAGGGGAGACTATATTATCTGAGGAGCCCCTGTCATGGGCTACGAGGGATATGACCTTGTATCTGAGTATTTGACACAGTCCTCGCCTTAGGGACCCTGAAGCCAGACATCCTATTTGTAACATGGAGGTGAGAAATTTGAGGAGTTCCAGGAAAAGCAGATCCCTAAGCTAAAGGAGGCAGAGATGGATGTTTTAAATCTCTCTCTCCAGATTATAACATTCCTTCTTCAGTTTCTGTGAGGCCCCTCAGTCTCTATTGTTTTCCTTTTATGCCCGATCATCAATACCACTCACTCCCCACCCCCCAGGGGTCCTGGGAAACGTTACTGAGTTGACTCTGTGTCTAAGGAATGAATGTGCATGTTCTAGAGGAATGGGTGGTGTTTCTGTTTGTGTTTTTAATTCACATTAATGATACTGCTCTATAACTCTTGCTGTTTCTTATGCATTTCCCTCTACACTACATTTTTTAAAACTCTCTTCATTACACAGTTGTACTCTCCTGTAGGCACTAACTGTTCTAGGCCATAGCTCTGGTGTGCTGCTGCACAAATTTGGGAAAGTTTTCTCTTGGCCTTTTTATGGGCAGGCTACACCCTGGGACCCCAAATCAGCCCAGCATGATGAGAGTTGAAAGATAAATACCTGCACAGCCTACCTGCTCAGGTGGGACGGCCTTGAGGCATGAACCACACAGACACTGTCTCCCGATGTCCTCCAGTGGGATTTAGCTCCCAGTGTCCACTGAGATCACCTGCACTAGGAACCCTTCACTCCCAAACCACTCCAGCCTTCGCCTTTCCCACTCCCATGCTGGGTTTTCTTAAATCAACTCCCAAACAAGCTATTTAAATGAAGGCAAACCCTCATCGCAAGGTCTGGTTTTAGAGGAAACCAGCCTGGGGCCATTTAACTTAGCAGAACCACTGGTGAAGGACACTTAGGTGCCATCAGCTTCCAGTCACTACCGACACCAGTGTGATGAATACTTTCCTGCAGGTGCCCTGTCGATGGACATGAGAGCTTTACATGGATACACACCACAGATGTGACATCCTGGGCGACAGGACAGCGGTGTGCTTGATTTCACTGAGCCTGACTGTCATCTTGTGCAGAAAGATTCCTGTTTCCCTCATATCCTGGTTGACACTTTCTGTTAGCAACCTTCTGTGTCCGTCTGTCTCATGAGTCCAAGCTGATAGCTCAGTGTTGTTTTAATTGGCACTTCGATTACTGGTGAGTTTGAGCAGCTCATCACATTCCTATTGACTCTCTCAGCTTCTTAGTGAATTAAACGGCAAAGTGTTAAGGAAGCACTCCGCTGCCATAGTCACCAGGACTCAGCAGAGCTAAAGCTGGGACTGCAGAGCAGATCTTGCTAGAAACACATTGCAGAGGGGGAGATATAATCCCTGGATGCAGCTTCGGGGCTGGACCATTTTGGAACAAAGCATGAGAATGGAATTGTTCAATGAAATGTGGGCATAGTCCTCTTGAGTCCTGGAAATTTAATACTTGGCAATAAAATCCATGACAAATTCATGATTTTGAGAATACTACTATCATTTTAGCTAAAGGAACAAAGGCCCACAAGAACCTCCAACAAAAACTGTCCCAGGAACCTGAGATCCTGAGTCCCGAGGTTAAAGCAGAGTCAGCCCTGAGTCGTGGGTCCTGGCCTCTGAGGGCCGTGAAAGTAGAGATCGTCCAGCCGAGATTTCAGTGGGCTTAAGGGCCCCTTCTGCAATGGAATGGTTCTTCGAACGCTCAGGCTGAAAGCTTTCTACTTCCTGTGGAAGGGCAGCAGAACTGGGAAATACTTGAACTGCCACTGAGCACTCTCCCCACCACAGAAGGGACAGAGAGAGAGAAGTGAACTAGCAGGATTAATAATGATAACGTGAAGGTAAGCTCTCCCAATTCCAATGTGAGGAAGTTGTAAACTTCATGAGCATGCTCCTTTTCTAAAATAATAATCAAATTAGTTATTGAATTATAACAATTCTAATGTGTGCTAACACTTTTTGTTTTAAGTATTAAAGCATGCTAGATCACTTTTATTTCCTTGCAAAAAGAAAAGTCATTTATGAGACATTTATTTTCACATAGACTGAAGTAAAATACTCCCCCTTTGATTTTGGAATCCATGGAAGACACTGGCCCCTAAATGAAGGTATTTTCGGCCCCAGCTGCTGTGGTTCAGTGGATTGAGTGCTGGCCTGTGACCTATAAAGGTCGCTGGTTTGATTCCCTATCAAGGCACATGCCTGGGTTACAGGGCCAGGTCCCCAGTTGGGGGCACTCGAGAGGTAACCATACATTAATGTTTCTATCTCTTCCTTCCCTTCTCTCTAGAAATAAAGTAAATCTTTTTTAAAAAACAAATATTTTTGTTGTTGTTTAATAAATTGGTTTTAAAATTGGTTGCCAAGATTTCTGGTTTCTGTTCTAATAGGTAAAATTTTGGGGGTCAACTCTCACTGTGTCACAGAAAATCAACAACTCATGGAAATAGGACTTCTGGCCAAGATGGAGGCATAGGTAGATACATTATGCCTCCTTGCACAACCAAAATAAGGTCAGCAACAATTTAGAAACAAGATAAAAACCAGAATTGACAGAAAATTGAACTGTATGGAACTCAGACAACCAAGGAGTTAAAATAGAGACGTTCATCCAGACCAGTAGGAAGGCGCAGAGTCAGGCAGCCAGGCTGAGAGGGGTCGCAGCACAAAAAGTGGGGGACTGGACACATAACGCATCCCGGGTGTGTAAGACATCCCAAGCTCAAGACCCCAGCAGGCGGAGGCGGCTGGCAGACCCAGAAAGGTGGCGACTGTGAAGCGAGGCACTGTGTGCAAGGTGCCTGGCTGTCTAGGCCACATTCGCACACAGATAAACCAGGCAAAATTGGGCAGTGAGACAGACGGCGCACCCCAGGGTCCCAGCACTGAGAAATAGAACCTTGGGACACTGATTGAAAACACCTGTGGGGGTCGAGGCGCAGGGAGACTCCCAACCTTACAGGAGAGTGCATTGGAGAGACCCACAGGGTCCTAGAACGGACACAAGTCCACCCACCTGGGGATCAGCACCAGAAAGTCCAGTTAGTTTGGGGGAAGCAGCGGAAGGGACTGAAATCCAACAGAGCGAGGAGCAAGCACCATTGTTTCCTCTCAGACCCCACCCCCACATACAATGTCACACCCCAGTGACTGGGTTGCCCCACCCTGGTGAACACCTAAGGCTCCACCCCTCATATGTAACAGGCACGACAAGAGCTCCCCCCCCAGAAAGACTCAAATGGAAGCACAAATCAAAGCCACAGAGCCAATACTTTTAAGCAACCAAGAGATAGCCAAGGTATCAGATGCACAGTTCAAAGCACTGGTGATCAGGATGCTCACAGAATTGGTTGAATTTAGTCACAAATTACATGAAAAAATGAAAGCTACAATATGAGCAATGAAGGAAAATGCACAGGGAACTAATAGTGATGGGAAGAAAACTGGGACTCAGATCAATGGACTGCACCAGAAGGAAGAAAGAAACATCGAACAAGAAAAGAATGATGAAACAAGAATTCAAAAAAATGAGGAGAGGATTAGGAACCTCCAGGACATCTTTAAACTTTACAACATCCCAATTATAGGATACCCAAACGGGAAGAGAAAGAGCAACAAGTGGAAAAGTTATTTGAACAAATATTAAGGGAGAACTTCCCCAATCTGGCAAAGGAAATAGACTTCCTGGAAGTCCAGAAAGCTCAGAGAGTCCCAAAGAAGTTGGACCCAAGGAGGAACACACCAAGGCACATCATAAATACATTAGCCAAGATTAAGGATAAGGAGAGAATCTTAAAAGCAGCAAGAGGAAAGCAGAGAGTTACCTACAAAGGAGTTCCCATGAGACTATCGCCTGATTTCTCAAAAGAAACCTTGCAGGCAAGAAGGGGCTGGGAAGAAGTATTCCAAGTCATGAAAGGCAAGGACCTACATCCAAGATTACTCCATTCTAGCAAAGCTATCATTGAGAATGGAAGGTCAGATAAAGTGCTTCCCAGATAAGGTCAAGTTAAATGAGTTCATCATCACCAAGCACTTATTATATAAAATGTTAAAGGGGCTTATCTAAGAAAAAGAAGATCAAAAACTATGAACAGCAAAATGACAACAAACTCACAACTATGAACAACTAAGCAAAAAAAAAAACACCTAAGCAAACAACTAGAACAGGAACAGAATCACAGAAATGGGTATCACCTGGGAAGTTATCAGTGGGGAAGGGGAGGGGGAGAATGGGGGAAAAGATACAGGGAAAAAGTAGCATACATGGCAGGTAGAGAATAACAAGGAGGTTAAGAACAGTATAGGAAATGTAAAAGCCAAAGAACTTACATGTATGACTCATGGACATAAACTAAGGGGGGAGAGAGAGTGCTGGTGGGAGAAGGTGTGCATGGCAGAGGGGTTAAAGGAGAAGAAATGGGACAACTGTAATAGCATAATCAATAAAATATATTAAAAATAAATAAAATAAAATAAAACTAAGAAGGCAGAGAAGACAGGAAGATAATTTAAAAAATGAAACAAACAGATAATAGTTAAAATATCATTGATATTAATTCAACTATGTAATCACTCAAATGTGAATGGTATAACTACACTGATTAAAAGACATGCTATCTTCCCAGACTGAAGCAAGAAGAAACAAAAAATCTCAACAGACCAATTACTAGAAATGAAATTGTATCAGTAATCAAAAAATGCCAACAAACAAAACCCTGGACCAGATGGCTTCACAAGTGAATTGTACTAAATATTCAAAGAAGAGCTAACACCTATC